CTTTTTAATTCTTTTATTTCCTCCATTCATTTTTTTCCCTCTCTTTCCCATTCATCATTTTCCCTCCCTCCTTCCCCTCCTCATTCATTCGCCCTCCCTGCTGGTCCTTCCACCCGGTCCCTTCTTTTCATTCATCTTCCCCCACACACACACCACCCCCCGTCTTTCATCTTTTTCTCTTTCCTGCTTCTCACATCCGGTTCTTTCTTTGCTCATTCATAAATCTGAACCGTAGAGGGGGGGGCTCCCTAAAGGTCATGTAGTTCAGCCCTGCTCGTGATGCAGAAAAGACCCACCGCTCAAGCATCCCCTGACCTTGGGGTACTTCGGAAGCGCAGGGTCACGGAGTGGATGCCCCGGGATTCCCCCAACTGTGACATCATCAAACACCCCCCCCCCTGTTTTCAGGCTTCCCAGCTGCCCTCGGTATTGTGGTGACCTGCCTCCCATTTAGGGCCACCCAGTGAAGTCTCCGATTCCCCAACTGCCCCGCTCAGCTCTTGCAAATTCAAGCCAATGGCTTCTTTCAGCAAGTCAGTCCATCTCACTCCTGTTTTCCTGCTGCCTTCCACCTTTTTTTGGGGGCATGATGGTCTTTTCCGGAGAATCCTGCTTTCTCCTGATGGGCCCAAAGCAGGACAGTTTCAGTGTTGTTATTGTGGTGGTGGTGGTGGTGTGTGTGTGTGTGTGTTTTCACTCCAGAGATAGTTCCTCTGTACCTACTAGCATTGATCCTTACAGTAGCTGAGTAAGAAATGGGTCTTCCAGTGCATGGATGCAGCGAAGTACTGGAGGATCATTTGGTCCCGAATAGCCAGTTAAGAGCCGCACACCCCCTGGCTTCTCAGTTGTCAATATGAACTGATCCAGCTCTCATGAACTTCCCAGTTGAGCACTAAATCCCTGCCAGAGCGCCGTCTGACCTCTGTCCTGCTTGCAGACAGGTCACCCCAAGAGGAAGCTCTTTCTCACATGTACCTGAAATCGCCTCCCCCCTCCTTTTTCTCTCTCTGTTTGCCATTTCACTCCCTTCCCTCTGGTTCTGTCCTCTTGTGCAATTGGTAAACACGTTTGCTTCATTCTCAATGGGGCAGCTTTTCAGGCATTTTGAGATGGCTATCCTATGGCCTCTTGATGCTCTTGGCTTAACACACCCACTTCTTCCTTGTTGTCCCTCATCCTGCTAGCTTTCTCTTCCTTCCTTCCCCCTTCTATATTTCTTCCCCTTCTCTTTATCCCCACATTTTCCTCATTTATTCTGTTCTCCCCCGCTGCCTTATTTTATTTCCAGCCATTCTCTTCTCAATTTCCCCCCCTTCCGTTCCCCCTCTTTCCTCATTCTCTTCTCATCCACCCTCTTTTCTCATTTTGTTCCATGTTTCATAATATAATAATAATCTTAGAACGGCAGAGCTGGAAGGGTTCCTACAGATCCTCGAGTCCAGCCCCTACCGAGGAGGCGCAGTGGGGGAATCGAACTCCCAACCACTGGCTCCACAGCCGAAGACCGAAACCCCTGGGCTATCCGCTCCGCTGATCCCCCTTTTCATTCAATCAACTCTCACTTTATCCTTCCTCCTTTCTTTTTGTCCTCGTCTTAAGTCCTCTTTTTAATAAGGCTAGGGATTTTATTTTCCCTTCTATTGATGTCCTTTAAAGTTGCTTCTAACTTTATTGTCAAATATTACCTGTTGTTTAGCTTTATAACGTACAGTATTGTTTTTCTTTGCACCCTTTCAAAGCTCATGCACAGTTCCTCAAGTGTTGAGAGTACGGTGGAATAAAATTAAATACATTTATATTCATTCCCTTTCCTCTGTTTTCCTGGATTCTGACTGGTGCTCAACTTCCCGCTTTTTCTTTCCTCTGTGAATATTTATTTATTTATTTATTGGACTTATATACCGCCCCATAGCGCTACAAGCACTCTCCGGGCGGTTTACAATTTTAATTATACAGGCTACACATTGCCCCCCCAGCAAGCTGGGTACTCATTTTACCAACCTCGGAAGGATGGAAGGCTGAGTCAACCTTGAGCCGGCTACCTGGGATTTGAACCCCAGGTCGTGAGCACAGTTTTGGCTGCAGTACAGCGGTTTAACCACTGCATCACAAGGCTAAAAGGGGCCCTTTGTGTGTCATGGCAGCCTATTCAGAATGTCAGGGGGCTATGCGGTATAGTGGTTAGAGCAGGAGACTTGGAGTAAGACCACTGTGGGTCTGTGTCCCCACTCAGAAGGCTTCTTCCTGGCTGTGCATCATGGGAGTTGTAGTCTAGAGCACCAGAAAGAGCAGGAGGTTGTTCTAACTCCCCAGTGTAAATGGATTTGGGTTGAGCAGGAGGAGGGACCTGTCATGAAACTTTGGCAACTCCTGTGCCGTTTTTGACTGTGTGTCGTTCACTTCTGTCGCTCTTGACTGTCTTCGGAAAAGGAAAAACAAGACTCAGTCATCTTGCTTTTTTCTTCTGAAGCCACTAGAACTTTTAACTCCCATTGGGAAGAAGATGTGAACTTTCCTTTCCCTTCTATAAATGTGTATCAGAAAAGGGAAGAGTTCAACATTCCCTCAGTTTGCTACAGGATTTCTGTTGGATTGTTGCCTCTTGTACCCCCCGGCTGGCTGCCCTTGGCTCGCTCTGTCACTCGCTCACTCGCTGTTCCCCCAGTTGTGATCTTTTTTCCTTTCCCTTCTATAAATGTGTATCAGAAAAGGGAAGAGTTCAACATTCCCTCAGTTTGCTACAGGATTTCTGTTGGATTGTTGCCTCTTGTACCCCCCGGCTGGCTGCCCTTGGCTCGCTCTGTCGCTCTTCCCCCAGTTGTGATCTTTTGGAAAGCTGTGACTCCCTGGCCTCTCCCTGCTTTGCATCTGTTTTTCTCAGCTGAGATGACCTGAAGGCAGCTTCTTTCATCTGTTGCGTCAGAGGTGGGCTCAGGCTGTGATTGTGGTGGGGAGAGGCTTCGGCTTTCCAAACAGAGCGTCTTGGAAGTATTCCTGCATACAGTGTATGCCGGCAGTTTTCTGTTCACACTGCTGAACGGGGGGCCGAGTTCTAGTTTCGAGCTCTTTATGTCAGATAAAATCCCAAACTTAAAAAATAATAACCTTAACATCGCAGAGCTGGAAGGGATCCTATAGATCAGTGGTGTCAAACTGTGGCCCTCCCGATGTTCTTGGACTTCAACTCCCAGAAGCCTTCACCACCACCTCTGCTGGCCAGGATTTCTGGGAGTTGAAGGCCAAGAACATCTGGAGGGCCACAGTTCAACACCACTGCTATAGATCATCCAGTCCAACTCCAGTCAAGGAGGCACCACCGTGTTGGCGGAGACCTAAAAAACAGAGCTGCCACTATAGATCATCCAGTCCAGCCCCGGTCAAGGAGGCACCACCGTGTAGGCGGAGACCTAAAAAACAGAGCTACCCAGCCATTTTTTTCTTCCATGCAGGCATACTTAAATCATGGCATTTGTTTCCTAACGAGGAACCCTTCCATCCCGTTCGATGACGTGTACGATGGGTAGGCCACCTGCTGGCCTCTGGATCATCTTGGATCACAACTCCAGTCCAGCCCCGGTCAAGGAGGCACCACCGTGTAGGCGGAGACCTAAAAAACAGAGCTACCCAGCCATTTTTTTCTTCCATGCAGGCATACTTAAATCATGGCATTTGTTTCCTAACGAGGAACCCTTCCATCCCGTTCGATGACGTGTACGATGGGTAGGCCACCTGCTGGCCTCTGGATCATCTTGGATCACAACTCCCATCATCCCTAGCCATGGTGGCTGTGGATCATGGGAGCTGTAGTCCAAAACTGGGGGAATGGCAGTTTCACGAAGGCAGTGTGTTCACTGTTTCACCTTTTAAAAGCAGGGCAAGAAACTTTTATCTGCCATTCTTAATTGGGTATTTATTTTGGTATCCCCTCCCCCACCCCACCCCCGCGAACTCAGCAGGCTGAACGAGGACATATGGTATAATTAGTTTTCTCCCTGCTGGAATCTAAGATAGAGTGCCCTCATTATCACGAGTATTCTTAGCTTTCTTTTCTACATTACCTAACACAGTCCCTGCACAGCTAAAACACTCTTGAAATTTCAAGCCCTTTCTCCTTGGCCATAATGTTTACATGTTTGAAATGCCAGATGGCAAAATTTTAAGGCTTAAAAAAAAAAAAGGAAATCCTAGCATGAAACACCTAGGCTTTCTGGATGAGTAGGAATATTAACTCAGTAGCTGGTAGGAAATTCCTTTTTAAAAAAACACTTGACTTTTTTTCAGATTATCCCTGTTATAATGCATAGTTGGGTAGCTTGGTTATGGATGGATAGTAAAGAGCCATTGGCTTTACTAAAGACCCGCTCCTGGTGCAGGTGAACCTGGCTAGAAATGGACTATCGAAATATCTGCGTTTTTAGTTTCTCCTGTGGGGCCGTCCTAATTCTCCCCTGCAGTTCAAATGTACCAATACAACCCTGTAATTATATGTATTTTTTATATAAGGTCTATCCCACACAGGGATTTTCTGTGCTCAGTTTTGAAAAGCTGGCTGCTGGGGGGTGGAGCAGGGAAGACTTCCATCGTATTACACCCAGCTGCAATGTTGTTGTTGTTCTAAACGCCTCGGTAGTTGTGATGATCTTATTCTTCAGAACAAGTGGTACAGTACACTTCAAAGCGGAACACTTTCTGACCGATTTAAGCAGGGTGTGCACTACCTTGGTCGAAGTCCAATAAAGGATACATACTCATGATGACAGAATTACTGTTCTCTCATTCTTCTGCCTGGAACACTTAAGTTGTAGCTTAAGGTAGGAGTATAATTAAAAACAGCCGCCTAGAGTGGTCCTATAGACCAGATGGGCGGGATACAAATCAAATAAATAAATTAAATAAAAACAACAACTGTTGATTTCTAAAATACACTTCCTGTTGTGGAAGTACAACTCCCATCAACAACTCATTGGGGCGATGAGGGCTGTCCAGGGACCTAAAATTGGGGGAACCACTAATTTAAAGGTACACTGCTCCTTGATGTGGAGTTCCATCGGGTCATTGGCTGGAGGCCTTTGAAATGAGCCGCACGAATCCTGCAGGTTGTGAAATTGTGTGAAAGCTGGTTTCCCCTTTTCTCTTTAGAAGAAATTGCCCATTTCTTGATTGACTGGCCTTTTGAGTCACACCGGTGAGAATGAGCCAAGCTGCTGGTGTTTATGAGTGGTCCTTTGGAAAATATATCCTGTGATCCATGGGGGCAAGTGAACGTGGTGGGGCTTTGTAAGTTTAGCCGGCGAAAGAGAACCAGGTGGAGGTTGAAAGGCTGGGCATTGCCCCAAAGAGCTTAGGCAGGAATTGACCCCAGGGGCTAGTGCTTTGTGCATCATTGAACGTGTCAATAGGATCTAGTACTTCAGTTCTTGGGCTCCGCCCCACACCTCCCTTTCCTCATCCTTCTCCCTTGGTTCACCTCGGACCATTGCACAATTTAAAATTATGGATGTAGATGAAATATAGGTAAAATTAAAAACAAATTAAAATGCTGTTTTTTAAACCGGAAGCAGGATGCTTCTATAGTGTTCTCTCGGCCATTTGTTAGATCTTATTTAATGCAAGTGGCAGGGAATGAATTGCACATGCATAAGTGCTGCACAGATTGAATTACTCCACAGTCACAGAACATTTGTCCTGTTGCTTTATATCTCACCTTGTCCCTACTTAATCTTCCAAACAGCCCTTTGAGGTAGATCAGTATGGAAAAGGAAGGGCTCCTTGTTTTTTTTTTCCTGAAAAGCAGAGTCAAGCCCACCTTGTTTCATTAAAACTGGGTTGGGGGGGCCGAGGGTGGTGCCAGGTTGGTGGCAGCCAGCCTGCAGGCGACACTTTGCCCACGCATGTTATGGTTTGTAAAGAGACTGGAAACCTTGTTTTCCAGAGCATCAAATAGTTTCCCCACCCCCTGCCATCCTGTTTATTTTAGATCCTCCTTTGTTTTCTGCTTTTATACAGAGAGATTCGGTTTTGCAGGGGTAGCACTGCCAAATCATTTCATCCAGTCCCCGTGGGCTGTTCTGCATTAGCTCCCCTGGGAGGAATGCTGCAGAGATGCCCTGCAGGGCTCAGGGAGAAGCAGCAACCCACACAAAAGGGGCTGGAAAGCTAATTAATCATATTGCACAGTTAATTTGCGCTGTTCTGTGCCAGAGCCCAGGGGGGGGAGGGGGGTCGCTGGCTCACCGCTTTGTGAACTCTTAATACTGACAGGGCAGTTCTTAATTCAGCCAATGCTTGCATGCACACAAATCTCTGGCCTTTAAATGCAAGGGGGTGACCTCAGGCAGCAAATGCCGGGGGGGGGCAGCCACAACATCTTGGAGAAGGAATCTCAGCCCCATGCAACTCGCCTGGCACCAGCCTGTTTGCATCCAGATCCGTGTCGGATCCTGTCCCATTGTCAATAGGGAAGAAGGATTCAGCTCCCATTCTAATCTGCTTTTGTATTTATTTGTTCAACAATATGTGTACTCGGTCTTTCTCCTTCAAAGGACCCAAGGCGGCTTACATCCTTAAAAAGACAGTATTTACAAGCTAAAAGCTGCAAGTATACAAATATTTTTAAAAGAATTAAACATGCATAAGATTGAAAACAGTAAATATGGGGAATGTTCAAAGCACATTTTAAAGCCTTTTCGAAAGAAATGGAGATGAACATCCTCTTATTCGTTTTCTCAGGCTGCAAAATGTTTGCAGTGGGTCCTGCTCGCTCAGGACTGGGGATTAAGATACCTGCCAAGCCTGGAGATTATTGAGATTGAGATAGCGTCTGTGAAATAACGGTCTTGCCCAATCCAAGAAATCTCAGTTGGCCCATGAAATAAATTATTTTTGATTAAATTTCCTGAATCAGTTTGCACCAGGCCAGAACAATAGATTTGTGGGTGAGTTGGGAAATAAACACACTTCTTTTCTTTATGGGAAATGAATATATTTATTGGCCGAAATCTGGTTGCTGATTCCAGATAGAATAGACCAACTCCTGAATCCAGTCAGCACTTACAGTTAGAGTTCTCAATCTGATTTTAAGCCTTTGTTTGCAAAAATCTTGCCCTTTGAAACCATCCTGCTCTTTATACAAGAGAAGGAGAAATGCCTCTTTCAAAGCCTGCAGCTTTTATACCTAATTGCATTAAAATAATTAGCTTTTCTAATTTATTTGCGTGGGCGGAAAAAAAAGACTGCAGAATGATTTGGGCAGCGTTTATGTTTTCGTTTGTTAGAAAGTCATAACTTTTCAATTTAATCAGCCAGTTAATTTGCTTAAAAGCTGCAGTATGTGAAATCCAGCTCCCACAGCCCACAATGGCATAACCAGCTGGTTTGCCCCATTTTGGATCTGTTTCGATCGCCTCTCTGTCAGCTGTTGTGGTTGGGGAAACAAGTCAGAAGCAAGTCATGGTTCTGGGGTAACCATGGTTTATTGTAAACTCTGGTAAGTCATTGTTATCTGGAGGTAACAACAAACCATGGTTTAAAATATGCCAGGGTTTATAAGTTAGCAACAAACCATGGCTTCTAGTTGTGGTTTGTAGTTGGTTAGTAAACCATTCTTATTTTTTGCATATTGAGTTTGGGCACCGTGACAAACCAGACGGTAACAAACCACAGTCCAGCTTATTATGTGCAAGGCAGTCCAGTAAACCATTCTTATTTTTTGCATATTGACAGAGATGAGTTTGGGCACCGTGACAAACCAGATAGTAACAAACCACAGTCCGGCTTATTGTTATGTGTGAGTCAGTCCATAATTGGAGGGTCAGAGGTTTCTACCCCAAAGCTATATTTTGTGGAGACCAACAATTAGGTCTTCTGTGGGTTCCGTCCAGAAGCAGCTGTTCAAGATGTTTTCAAGGCTTGCTGGTGCGCAAACGGCATGCAAATCTGTGGGACCATCAACATAAAGAGGTTCGGATGCCTCTCAACCAGGTGGGAAGGAACAGGGGCGAGAAGGTTAAAAGGAAGGAGTTCACCCATGGCCGGAGGGAGAACAGATGGTGCTTTGAGGATGCTGGCCATGTCTGGCAGGAGATTGGAGCTGGGGGGGGTGCGCGTAGGGGTAGGGTGTGGGCGCACAGAGGATCAAAACATGTGTCACGCTTATAAGGACTGCTGGCCAAGGTGGGGTGTGGGCGCACAGAGGATCAAAACGTGTCACGTTTATAAGGACTGCTGGCCAAGGTAGGTGCACTTGGTAACCCTGTGTCTTCGTTTTTCAAAGGAATGTGCTCAGTTTGTTTGGAGATCCATTTTTGTGTTTGGAGATATCTTGATAATATTGCAAACAGAAAGAACCCGTTAGGTGTGGAAGTAATGCTGAGTGCTAAAGGGAGTCTTACTGCATAGGCCTGGTTGTGAGAAGAGAGTTTGGAAATCACACATTATCAATGACAGACTGAAACGTTAACAATGTCTGATGTCATGATTCTTATTAACAGGAATAGATGCATTTCAGTGTGTAACAGGCCACAGTGAACTGTACCTTTGGCGGAATGGGGGGGGTTATTTGAAGGGCTACGTAAAAGCGAACTAAAAAGTAATTGAAAAAAGAAGTCTGTTGCATAGTTTGTTGGCTACAAGTTGCTTTTTGGGAAAGGAGCAAAGTCACGAGTTGATTTTCGAAAGGAAAAAAACCCACCACCAGTTATTTTGAAAAAAAATTCCTTATCTATCCAGAGGGATTCTAGGAAAAACAGTATAATTCTGGCACAGAGTAGACCCCTATTTATCTAGCATAGGCTTTTTCGGATCGTGGCCCGCTTCACGAGCGGCATCTCAAGCGAGTTGTGACCCCCTGGAGTTTAAATGTGCAACTCTTGGAAGATGCCACGTTTCTCTTGCGTTTTCGGATGCTCCGAACGCTGCTTGAATGCAGATCTCTGTATGCTGAGGGCCCAGCCCTGCTGGTTTTTGAAAAGCTTCTCCAGAAGCCCATCTGGCTAACTCAATCTTGCAACCCACACCAGCTTTCTGCCTGCCACCCTTGAAACCATTTATGACAAAAGAGAATAATGTATTTGTGAGCCAATAGCGGTGGGAATTTCGAGTGCAGTTCCTCCCACCCACCCCTCTTCTTCAGCTCCCCCCCCCAATTTTCACATGACCTGGGTGACCCCCTGTGACGACGTGCCTGAGCTGCTGAGGGTCTCTGTAAAAAAAAACTTAAAAAAAAACAGTCACTCTGGCCAAGAAGGGCTTAGGCATAAAAAAGCATCTTTAGGCTTGGTTAAAAATATTTCTGCAATAGGGACTGGCATCGGGCTGGGAAGGCTAAGGCCAATTGGCTAAATGGAGTTATGTAACCTGTTCTTTCCAACTTGGGAAATGCCTTGCCTGGCTCACTTACTCCTCTCGCCACCCCCCCAGCTGGCATGGGAGTTGTGGACCAAATAAATCATTCCCCTCGAATCCTCAAGCTGCCACTGCAAGGCTGTTCTTAGGCAGTTTTCTGTGCAGGAACAGAAGAGAATCATGCCCCAGATCCTGTGAGGTTTGAATGCCATAGGCATGTATAGTCGCTACTGTACAAGTTCCTTTGTCTCTAGTCTAGAACCTTAATGTACATGGTTTCAAATAACTTTAAATTGCTTTCAGTGCTTCCTTGTTTTAAACTGTTTGCCCTCTTGAGAATTTTTGATACAAGGTAGAATATCGATATTTTACATAAATCAACACTTGCAGCCCAAAATTACCAACAAGACCAGCCAATGTCAACTCCAAAGAACAAAACATTTTTAAAAACACAAGATAAAAACAGCAACAAACAGTAAGCACACTTTTGCAGTAATTTACCACACATTTCCCAGCCCTGTTACATAAAGGAAGACCATTGGCCCACTAACTCAGGGGTGCACAATGGTAGCACTCCACATTTTTTGGACTACAACTCCCATGATCCCTCACTGTTAGCTACATTGGCTAAGCCTCATGGGAGTTGTAGAGAGGCCAATCTAGAAGTCCTGGTCTGAAACGCCTTCTCCTGCTTGTGGCTCTTCTCTGGACCAATTTTGGGATGTTCTGCTTGAATCCCACGTTTTACACCATCTTCGTCTGATGAAGGGTTCTGTGGCACTCAAAAGCTGGCCTCATTTGTGTCTCTATTTTAGGGAGCCAATCCAGGCATCAGGAGTTTGCCTCTGTGGATGGATTGCATGGCTATTTCCTGTACATTTTTAGTAGCCACCGTCTCTCAGAAAAAGGCTCCTACTCAGGGGAAAGCGAGGGCAGGCGTTGTTTCATTAGCGACAGGAAGAAGCCCCCGCTTTGGCCTCCGATACCATTTTTTAATCCTCTGACTTTCAACCTTAGCCAGAGGCTCAAAGCCAGTGGCTGAAGGATTTGACCCGGCCATGTCTATAATCCAAGCAAAGAGGCCCAGCAGAACATCCCGCCGTGGCGGCTACTTGTAAAGCAGCCGTGAGCTTTGACCTTTGCTTCTGCTCTGTGTACAAAACCCAACCTTGGCTCCGACGTTCTGCCAATACAGCCGCTGCCGTTTCAACCCCCATCCCCTTCCTGGGGGCACAGAGATCCTGCGCCCTTCACGTGCACACAAACACCGAAGAGGATGATAGGAAGGGAGGAGAACGAACTTTGGCAGCTAGGGTTCGTAAACAGGTCCTCCGGCGCAGGTTTTGTAGGCCAACCTGGTTGCTTCTGATGCCATCCTGATTTGGTCCAGAGCAACCGGTACGTTGGCGAGGTTAATGCGCTGGAAAACAAAATAAATTGGTGGATGGTAAGGTATCAGCTGCTGTAGCAAAACAGTGGCGACTTCTTTGTTTTCTCCCATGAAATCTGGAGGCATGATATAGATCCTAAAGAGCAGACTTATTAATGTTCAGACATTTGTATGCTATATACACCCTCAAATTCTTCTTCTTCTTGATAATCTAGGAAATTAAGATCTGTTGAGCTCCATCCCGGCCCATTCAGAAGGGCGTTTTCTTTCCCTCCAGAATGGAACCCATTCATTCTGCTTTCATCCCACGCCTCATGCAAACTGGCCAGAACTGAGCTGATTTGATTTGGGACTGGTGATTTATCCGAATCTCTGTTAGCAACCCGGCTGGACTTGTTAAAAACTTAAGTTCCATACTAGGCAGTGCATCCGAAAAAAACTTAATATCTTTCCATCTGTTCCAAGCCTCTCAAATTTAAGAATGCCTTCACTGGCTGGATAGCTGAGAGGTTGAGGTCTCTGGTTTGGCTTTCAGTGTCTTTCTCACCTGAACCTTTTATGCCTTCCCAGGTGTGGCGGGACGGTGGGAGCCATCTTCACCTGCCCTTTGGAAGTCATCAAGACCAGGCTGCAGTCTTCGAAGCTGGCTTTCCGAGCTGTCTATTACCCTCAGGTCCAGCTGGGGACCATCAGCGGAGAAGGAATGGTCCGGCCAACCACCGTCTCTCCGGGACTCATCCGGGTTCTTAAGTGAGTATACGGACGTTGGCTCTAGCTTTGCTTGGCAGGTGATACCAGTACGGTCCTGGTTTGTACAAGAAATCCAAAATGTCTGGAACCTGTACAATCTTAGGAATGGGATAGGAATGCAGGGGTGGGTGAGGGAACAAGTTCCTTTCCTATGGGAGAAATCTTCTGGGTACCTCCCTGATGTTTTGGTCATGAACCGGGTAGATTTCCTCTATTGTCTTCCTCGGTGACCCCATTTGCTCCTGGTCTTCAGGGGGGTGAGATGCCTCCCCCCCCCCGGCAGAAGGACAAAACCACCTGGCAGATACAGGCCCACGTTTACTTTAGACAGCATGGACTGCTTCTTCATTTTGCTTGGGGTTTTTGTGTGTGTTTGTGTTTGCGCTAAGGGAGATTCCATGCCAGGCAAAACAGCCGGGTTGAAGGTTTAAAAATAAATAAATCATGGCATCGGAACCAGGTATTTTGGCAGCTGGCCTGCCGACTCAGTACAAATGAGGTAAGAGTGGGAACTGGCTGCCTTGCACTACGGCTGGGCTCAAATCGAAAGATTCCACAGTTAAAGCCATACTCCGGCTTGGCCCACTCAGAACAGCCCTGCAGGAAATGTAGTTGCCGACTCTGGTATGACTTGTATTTCTGCACAGGGACGTTTTGTTTGGACCATGAACTTGAAAGAAACCATTTAATTTGGCGGGATCCATGTTTGTTTCATTTTTTTGACTATGTGCCACCCATAATTTCCTAGACGACATAATTATTCTCTTTAGCTGTGGTTCTAAAAAAATTTAACGTTTCTAAGATCCGTACTATTCTCCAATACTCAGCCATCTTTCTGCAGAAGGGGGAAATTTTTTGTTGTTGTTTATCACATTTATGTCTTGAATTTCCTTCAGTCAGGCTTGCCCTCAGTCTTTGCTTGTAAGCGCTGTTAGGTGCTATATAGCCTGTAATCATTTCTCTTTTTTCTCTTTCTCCTCCTCCACTTTTTCTTACAGATCTATTTTAGAAAAAGAGGGCCCAAAATCACTTTTCCGTGGGTTAGGACCAAACTTGGTTGGAGTTGCACCCTCGAGGTATGAATCTCAAAAAAAAAACTTTCAGGATGACAAAGTTCTATCACTTCCGGCCGGAAGGCTGATGGGATTTGTAGTCCATTTGGGAAAACTGGATTGAATGATCAGTTTTGGCGCCCACCTTATTGTGCTCTTTTCTCTCTCATGCAGGGCGGTCTACTTTGCGTGTTATTCAAAAGCCAAGGAGCACTTCAATAACATTTTTGTGCCCAGTAGCAACATTGTCCATATCTGTTCAGCCGGCTCGGCAGGTAACTCTTCATCAAAATTATGGATGTCAATCCTCGTTTAGTTTTCTCATGTGCAAGGGGACCAAGCACATGCCCAGTATTTCAGAGACCAAGTACTGGGTGAATGAATCTCTTTACTTCTTCCCCATTCATTATTTTTAAACCACGTAAGTTTTTAGTATCCCAAGTAGGAAGAACTTTGCAAATTGTTGGTCAATTCTTGGTTGAAGAGGAATATAAAAAACTAAATTCACTCCTGTCCCAGTCCTGATGACTCAACAGTGCCATCTAGAGTCTGGCATGGGGGATACAAGAGATTTTATTTCTAAGCCCTTTAAAAATAATAATACAGTAATAACCTTGCGCCATCAAGTCAAAGGGGTGTGTGTGTGAAATACAAGATTCATCGGAAATAGATTCCCCCCCTACAGTTTGCAGGAGGGGAAATGGTACTGGGTTTGTAAATGGAATGACTGAACCTGGGATATGCATACATACTCCATATGGTTTGCAACATGTGGTTAAATAACTGTTTAAGATCATCAGTTTAAAAAAACCCCCACAAAACTGTAAATAAATTAAAAAGTGACCGTTGGTCCACAGGGTTGAAAATAACTTTCTTTTTAAAACTACAAGGGTGTGGAAAAACTAGGAATGACATCTTGTTTCTTTTCTTTTTTTAAAAAAAAAGGCATTTTGGTGCTTATAGGTACTAAAGCACCCCTTTTTAAAAGATAGTGCTGAATTTAAAAGCCAGAATATCTTTCTTATTTCTTCGGAAATACTTTACGTCTCTTCGCTCAGTATCTACATGCTAACCTCTTGCCAATTGGGATAAATCAACTTTAAATAATCCACCGAGAAGTCTGATTTATTTATTTATATTTCATTTACTGAACCAGTAAACATAACTTGGTTCGACTATACAGTTCCCATCACAAAAAGGGAGCCCTGCCAATGATTGAGGAGGATGGGAGTTGTTGTCCCATACCAGTCGGAGGTGATAGACTGGGTCTTACCATTCAGTTAATTACATTTCTATCCCGTTTTCCCAGCAAAGAGCTCTAAGTAGAATATGTGGTTCCGTTCCTACTTTTATCATCACAATAACCCTTGTGCAGTAGGTCGGTTTCAGAGCCTGTGATCGACTGGTCTATCTAGTAAACAAGTGGAGATTTGAACTCAGATCTCCCAAGTCCCAAGTTCAAGAATCAAGCCTTTACAGCTAGCCCTCCTCTCAGAAGCCCCAGTGGGGGGAATCAAACTCCCACCCTCTGGCTCTGCAGTCAGGGACCTACCTCACTGAGCTATCCAGCCTCTTCTTACTGAGCACTCAACATTTCTTTGATACACTAACCTGTTCATCTCTTTCCCACCTTTTTTTTTCTCTTCTCCCCTCCTTTTTATTGGCAGCTTTTATCACAAATTCACTCATGAACCCCATCTGGATGGTAAAAACCCGGATGCAGCTAGAGAGGAGGTAAGGGACAGGTGGTTTGACCCCCTTGAAACCACGCAGTGATACTATAAGGCTGTTTCTGTAATTGTCTTTCTGAGGCCAAATAGGGGCCAGTTTTCAAGAGCTCTTGAATCTTTATCATGGCACAGCACGACGTTACAAAAAGCAGGTTAAGGCTGGGAAGGAAGTGAGGGGTGGGTAGAAATCCCCGGATCTGATGTGTGTGTGTGGCCCTGTTGTTTGTGTGGTATCCTTCAAACTGAGGACAGACTGCAGACATTCAGAGACAGTGCGTCTCTTTCATGCAGAACAAAAACAATCAGCAGAGCTCATTTCAAAAGCATTTCTTCAAGCTTTTTGAAATATTTCTGAACCATTCCTTTTAAAAGATGCTGATCTAAAAGAAGAAGAAGAAGCAGGATTTTAGGAATAAATGTGAATACATTTTGGAATTTTTGGAAGCCTTCATTGGTTTAGTTCAGCTATTCCACGTGGATAAGTTCAACATCAAATCTTTATTTTTATAACCTTGTACGTTTGATCATGGTTAGGCATGACTTTGAAATCTTCACATACAAATAGTTTATAATACAGTATTTGAAACCACATAAATAAAGCATTAGGAAGTTCAGGGAAGAAGGCTGGAACAGAACTTACTGTTGTTCTATATACTGTACGTGTACTTCATAGCTCAGAAATGTTACTTTGCTGAATTTCAATTCCCAAAAAATCTTGCTAGAAGCTGGTTGTGAAGGTTCAGGTTCTATAATTCATGGAAGTAACTTTTCCGGGTTTGGTGATACTGATGCTTTTACACAAGGAGACGAATTCAAGCAAATTTTATTCCTGCTTATCCTTCAAAGTGGATGTATAGGAGGGTTTGGCATGTATTAAGTGTATATCTGTGTAATGTATTTTAACATAAATCGCCTTCCTAATATTTGGGCCAAACAAAAGATATTCCTGTTTGAAAAGTGGGGGGAAAAGATTTTTTGAAAATGAAGAGGCACCCACTTTCTATTCACCCTGGAGAATATTTTGATTTTAAAAAAAACTTTGTTGTCTTCTAGAGTGAGAGGTTCAAAGCAAAGGAACACTCTGCAGTGCGCTCAGTACGTGTATCGGACGGAAGGCATCCGCGGCTTCTACCGAGGCCTCACAGCCTCCTATGCCGGAATCTCAGAGACCATCATCTGCTTTGCAATTTATGAGAGTCTCAAGAAGCATGTCGTCAAGGACGACCGGTTGGCGCCGTCTCCCTCCGACAGCACAGACAGGAATTCCACCAACTTCTTCGGCCTGATGGCGGCCGCGGCCATTTCCAAGGGCTGTGCGTCGTGTATTGCGTACCCACACGGTACGTGAACTTTTTGATGGGTTCTGTTCCCTGCGCCGTATGGATGCAACCTCAGTTGTTCCGTGACAAGACTGATATTTTTCTCTTTCCTTCTCTCTCCCCCCCCCCCCCTGTCTCTGCGNCCCCCCAGAGGTTATACGGACCCGATTACGTGAAGAAGGGACGAAGTACAAAACGTTTATCCAGACGGCGCGGTTGGTGTTTCGTGAAGAAGGCTATCTGGCTTTCTACAGAGGACTTTTAGCCCAGCTCATTAGGCAGATCCCAAATACCGCCATTGTCTTGTCCACCTACGAATTAATAGTATATCTTTTGGAAGACCGAGTTAAGTAGCAGTCGGGGGGTTCAAATACACACAACACACACAAACACACAGGAACGTGTGCATGCAAAAAAATTCCATGGACCAGCTTCTTCTGGAAGAGCCATTTCAGACAGAAACGTCAGTTGGAAGAGAGAGCTGAAAAATGTTATTTAGACATGCTTTTCTTCCCCCCCCCCTTATTTTAAATCCTCCCTCACCCCCTCATTTTTTGGTTGTGACTTCTCCCTTTTGTTTTTCCCTTCTGCATTCATGCATTCTGAAAGATGATGATGTTCGTGTTAATTATTAGTGGTTTTTTTTTAACTTAAAAGAGACGAGGTTCAGAAATTAAAACAACTAAATTAAATCTCATTATTTAATTTACAGACAGATCTTGGGTGTGTCTGTAAACCCCCCCCCTATTTTATTGCTCCCACACAAGGTGATGTCAAAGTCCATTCAAACGTTTTGCAACCTCTGAATTCTTTAGAAATGACATAAATATCCCATTTTTTCCCTCTAAGGAGCAGCTGGCTGCATAGCTTAGTGATTTAGGCAGAGGTTGGGGGTTCCATTCTGCCCTGTGCCTCCCCAGGAAAGAGCTAGCCTGGGTAGCCTTGGCCCAGCTGTACCATCCCAGGGTTAACCCCCCCCACACACAGAAAAGAAACCATTTTTGAATATTCTCTACCTGGAAAACCCTGAAAACTATTGCCATAAGCCAGAATTAACATGGCGGCACATGATGATGATGATGATTTCAGGGCTGTGCCCCCTTCCCCCAAGATCCTCTTCACAACCCTTATGCAAAACCCAGCCATCCCAATAATACTTAGTATTAAAACAGGAATAGATTGCAATGAATACTCTTCCTTGGAAAAACTGTTCTCCCCATGACTGTTAGGATTGTAGTGCAGCACAAAAAGGGAACAGGAAAACCTACAGAGAAGCTGTGGAGGATGGCACAGCTCCAGCCGCCCAGAAGGTCTTGGAGCCCCGACCCAACCAGGCCAGGTGCCTTGGTACCACTACCTCCAGGAACAGGATGCTGATTCATAATGTGGGTATGGTGGACAGGCCCCCTGTGGCTCTCCCAATGTTGCTCAACCGCTACTCCCACCAGTCTCAAGAGAAGCACAACGTACAGTAGGTTTAAAGGCGGAACTAAAGAAAAATAATTAAAATACCAAAACAAGGATGATGGATCGTGGCCGGCTGGCACCCGGGGGGCGCTGCAATGCGCGCTCCGCTGCAACATTGTGTTAAGGGTTCCACGTCTTCCTTTGAAGTGTATTCTGCCGGGGAGGGGGCAGAGAGAGATCTCCCTTTCCTCTCTCCGTAAGTCACGCCGAAGTCGAGCTGACCGTCTCCACCGCATCATTTAACGGCGACGGATACGTTGATTCACACTCTCCCGGGGCTTGTAAACCCAACATTTCCAGCACGACGCGCGGACGGCCCCCCCAAAAAAACCGGAGGGGGGCTCCCTACGTGCCGCTGCCTAACCTAAAGGGAAGACAAGCCCTTTAAATTTGGTCTTGTCGTGCTTGACTCACTCTCTTCCCCTCCCCTCTGTACCATCCAAGCTGATTCACACCAGCTCTGCGTCTGGCACGATCCCGGCCTTTCACGCGTCCGCTGGTTCTGACGCCCCCGCCGCCCACGAATCGTCCCCCTATAAAGCCGCCACGGCGACGAGACAAAGAGGAGAAGCAAGCGAACAGGCGGAGGAATGTGTGTGTACCCCGGGGGGGGCGGTGGAGCAGAGGGGCGGTCGGTCGTGGGGATGACGCGGAAGAAATCCCCGTCCGAGTTCCCGGGCAGGCTATTAAAGCGGGCATCCTTCCGCGCGTCGACCCGCACAGGAAGGAGGTGTTAGTCTAGATTATCTCAGAAAAAGAAAAGAAAAAGGCGTGCCTCTCGCTTCGGGTGGTCTCGCTTCGCCCCTCCCCACCACGCCGCATGCCGGGGATCTGAAGCGAGGCGGCGGCTGCAGCGAAATCCCCGTCCGAGTTCCCGGGCAGGCTATTAAAGCGGGCATCCTTCCGCGCGTCGACCCGCACAGGAAGGAGGTGTTAGTCTAGATTATCTCAGAAAAAGAAAAGAAAAAGGCGTGCCTCTCGCTTCGGGTGGTCTCGCTTCGCCCCTCCCCACCACGCCGCATGCCGGGGATCTGAAGCGAGGCGGCGGCTGCAGCGCCGCGTGCTTTCTACCCGAGGAAGGGAGGCGAGGCGAGAGGAGGGGGGGCGGATACGGCGCCTTGGGTGGAAGA